GTTTTCCTCTTTTTCCCACCCAAAAATCATCCTTTTGGTAATTTATTCCTCTTCCATCAATGCTTTCCTGTCTCTCTCACCTTCCCCAGCCACAATTCTACACCCACAGGCACATACAACACTTGAAATATCCCCAAAACCTTAAAACCTGAGGATCCAGTGCTAAGGACCAGGAGAAAAGACTGGGGTCAGACAGGAAGTTAAAAGGGGATCCACTGTCTTGGAGCAATGGCCAAAAGAGAAGCCATCTTCTCAAGCACTAGGAAGCAGAAGTCAGTGAGGGCAGGTTCTTTTCAAGGGGCTAACTGGAGGCCCTACCATTGGTCTTTATCTTTCTAATCAGCCTCTAATCTGCCTAAAAAACTGGATGCATCTACCTGACCAATACCTCCCTCTGGCTGTTTGAAGAGAGAAGGAACATTTCACTGCTGCCTCCTCCTGACCAGGCTGCAAGTGGATACCCAATGCTGGGCTGGGAAGTTAAAAGAGGGCAGAAGGCAGGGTAGATTTGCACCTTATAGACTAGCTATCATATTTACCTGAATATAAGATGACAAAGAACATCAGATGAACTCCCAATAATTAGATTCTACACATGGAAAATTTATAAATTTATAAAAATGTTCCATGTATGGAATCTAATTGTTGGATTATAATCTTATTATGGGCAAGGAAAGTGAAGGTTCTGATGACTGTATAATCCAATTACAGGCAAAGCTAAAGTGGAGGTTCTGATGTTTGTGGCTAATGAATCTCCCACAGTTCTTTGTTCTCCTTGCTTCTTTGCACAGAGATGCCATTCTCTTGACCCTAAGATGCAACAGTGCTGGAGAAAGGGTGACTACAAAAAAGATAATGAAATACTGCAGGACTCCCATATACCCAACCTGCAGCAGCCTAGATTGCTTCCACTCCTGGCTGCCCCTTTCCTCTAGTTTTCACCCAGTATCATAGATGGCTCTTTGGGGAGAAATCCCTCTTCCTGACTAAACAAGTGGTTACAGTGTTGGCTAATTCACTGATCATGAGGCCTGAGGCTGCTGCTCTTGGATTTCTTGTTTGCCCAGTACTTTCTACCCTCATTTACCTTGGTGGATCTTGCTGAAAACCTGTCCATGCACCAGATGCAAATACCTATGGCATTTATATGACCCTATTGTCCCTTTGACTGAAGTTATTAGTGAGCATGACATTTGCTACCTAGTTGTATCTTCTCTAGTTGTTGTTTAAAATAATGGGTACAATAGCATGCCTGCAGATTCAGACTGTGCATATACTTCTACAGAATCTTCTACTTTTGGACACTTAGCCCTAGATTAAATTCACCCAGCTCCTGGCGATTCCCTCTGCCCTTGATCAGGAGCAATGCTACAGTAACATAATAGCTAGCATGTGGAACAAAGAGGAAAAATGATAAAGTGACAGATTTCAGTTTTAAGCTTCATCAGGATTAAAATACCTTCCTGGTGTCCTTTTAACTCTTGGAACACAGCCATTTTCCCATTTTAACAGCCATAGAAATGTGGTAGGATAGATCTGTAGGCAGCCCTCTTGCTAGGGAGTTACCACACCTTCATTTTTACAGAGCTGTTCTTGACAATAAGACTCATTTAGAACAAGTCAAAAGTTCACTTAGGCTTTTGCTGTCTACAGCAACAATGCACATTAGAAGCTTCATTATCTACAATTGAGTGATCTCATTTAAAAATAATAGTTCAAATGCTTAGGCAGCTTTTACATTATTCTAAAACTGCAGGTTCAGTTGGCAGTTACCCATTTCTAATTCAAACTTATGACCTGGAGGAAAGACAGGAAAAAAAGACATGAGCCATCCAGGGCACACCATCTAGGGTTGGGAGCATTATGCTCAACCTCCAACTCTCAATCTTGGGAATAAAGAAGATGTTTAAAAATCAGGGAAAGCTAATGTGTTCTGGGCACTACCTGGGTCCCATTGACAGCTACAAGCTGAGAGTTGTTGGCTCCATATACCTACATTTTAATGGTTGGCACAGATTACAAACCTAAGGTAACCTGTGAGCTTAAGAACTCAATACATCTTCTGATTCTCAGATGAGAATTTATGCTTAATGGAGGTCCATGACATTATTGCTATTTTTCCCTGCCTGCTAATGGGTGAGTTGCCCACCTCCCTGGCACAAGAAGAATGCAGGAAGTTAATCAAACAACAAGGTTTTGATATAAGGTGAAGGATCTAAGTATAGAATAGGCCATCAGGAAGAGGACCAACACAGCAGATGTCATAGAATTCATGGGAAGAGCAAATCAGAAAATACAGGACATTTGTGAAGAAAATTAATACAGTGGAGCATTTCTGTGATTAGAATAGGATTTACTGCCAAGCAATCCAATGGACAATTTATTAAACTCTTAAGGCTGAAACTCAAAGAACTTCATGCCAGGCTATGTAATGGCAACCTAGATATGGAGGTTTTGCATTTTCCTTTCAGCAAGCCAGAATTGTTATTTGAATGAATTAGAAAAATTGGAATCTCTCCTGTTTTGTTCAAAGGAGATCTCACTGAAAAAATGCCCACCACTAGATTTCCAGATGAACAGAATAAGCTTCCAAAATAGACAGCAGCATCAAGAACAGACACAGATTGACAGTTATCAACCGACATCAAAGAGGACAAAAATCTGTGTTTAAAAGTTTGCACTGTTTTTAACAAACATGCTTGTGTAAATATTTTGACTTCAGTGGAGTAATTCCTGGGTTACACTGGTAAACAAAAAGACAGCGAAGTCTACAACTTGAAAAGACAAAATTTAAAAATAGTGTAACTCTTCAGCATCTTTGCTAAGATTTTTAGATAGCTTATTTCCATAAATCATGGAATGAAGCCTTCTACTTTTAACTGCTGACAGCATGTAATTACCAATTTACCTGTACGATTTTAGAAAAGACAATATTTACAGACAGGCAAATTCCACTGTGAGAGCTCAATGTTAATGTAAGGAACACAGGAAAGAGGAGCAGGTCCAACTGTTCAAAAATCTTAAATTTCTTTTTCTCACTTAATAAGCATGAAATTACAAGAAAAAGCAAAAACCCATTGTTCGTTTATCTGATTACAGTGTCACCTTACAGCAGTGGTGTTCAACCTTCAGGAACAGTCCACAGGCCATATCCAGCACAGGGCTGGTCTGCAGGAGTGGTCCAGTACACCAGATCACCCCTGCATGCCAGATGTGTCCATGCGCCCACCTGGCCCCATCCACTAGCAGTGGCTATGGAGTGACCTCTCCATGATGGTGTGACTGAGCACACAGGACCACATCATCCAACCCATGAGGCTCCCCAGACGTCCAAAAATATGGCAGCAAGAGAGGCAATTAACACTGTCACCACTCCCAAATTCCCAGACTCAGGGGGAGGCCCACAGGCCAGAGGACATGGCTTTTCAGACAGAATCTTGCCTGAAGACTAGAGATTGAGCATCACTGCTTTACAGTGATGTTATTGATCAAGTATCTTCAGTGGCAGAGTTATTAATCATATCCACTAACAAATTAAATTTCTGGAATATGTGCTATATTTTCAGTATTGGACTGAGTAATTTTATAATCATTGTTCAGCAGTTTCATTGCAATAGAAGTCCAAATGAAGTAATCTCATAGTGGAGTAATGGATTCATTTAAAGCTGATGAAGTCTACCCTGAAGAGGATCATCAGCAGAAAAATTTCAAGTGGCAGGAGGAATTTGTGGAACAAACATACAAGTGTTCATTCAATTAAACAAACCCCAACAAATGCCATATATCAGGAATTTTGATGGTAGGGATAGATGAAAACTTATACTGAGCTAAAAAGGGAAGCAGATTTCCATGTGTCACCTGGTGACAGCTTCATGTTCCTGTAATGGAAACTAAAATTGTAGAGTTTTATTTTCATTCAGTAGTGTCCTGTTCCAGTTTAGCTTCTACTTATTGTGGGGTAGGAGTGGACAGACATATGAGCTGCCCTGCAAGAGCTTATATATAGTTACCCTCCCCTGCCTTTTAACTTGCTATGTGTTTATACCATAAGAAGACTTGACTGACCATTCATGACAATGAATCCACCCTATGGACCAGTGGGCGTCAATCTTTTGGCAGGCATGTCACAAATAAGCTCTGCACCCACCCCAAGTACCAGTTCAATCCCTTTCTCCTGCCTGATCTGCTATTTCTGCTCCCTACTCTGTGCTGCATGCCAGATCTCCTGTTCTGCCTTCTGCTTCCTGCCCTATCTGCTGTTGTGCTGCTTGTCCCCTCCCTGATCTACCACATGCCAGACACAGAGGCTACTAATGCTACAGGTTGGCCACCCCTCAACAACCTTAATTTTTTTAATAGAAATGGTAAGACATTAGCTCATTGTGGATTAGAGAGTGGATCGGGCCATTCTGAATCAAAACTACAATATTCATGCAAAAACTCATTTACACCTAAATTTCATGCTAATGAGCAAAACAGAGACAACAGATTGCATTGAGAGATTTGCAAGAGTAGGTAGCACCCCAACATACTAAGGAAGAAAAACTTTCAGCACCCTGGACAAGTTCCTGCTGCTTTCAGTGGGATTTAGTTGTATCAAGTAGGGCCTCTTGTTAAAAACAGTTTGCTGATGAATTATCAGCATGCATCAGCATTTGGTCAGCATGATTCTATGAAAGATCAGCCAGATCTTTCCAAATGAACAGAGCCTCTTTCACAATAAGAAATGTTATGATTCACCAAGTACAGATATACCACTACAAATGCCAATAGACAGCTGAATCATTTTGAAATAATATAATTACCTGGGGTTTCCACCCGCCGGTAATGGTATGGGTTAATGCACACTTCTTTCTGTTTTGAGCCAAATGGGAACTCACAACATTCCAGTGGTTTCAACTCATGGTGAGACTGTAAATCAGGCCAACGCCACACTCTGCAGTAAATAACGTGGGGCAACCCCTTACGATGTGACACTTGCAGCCTCCCATCCAAGGAGCGTGGGATTGTGACACACTTACTGGGCTGGCCAGGACAGCTCAGCGCCCTCTCAAGTTCTTCCATGGCACCTTTTTTCTTCTTTAATTTCTTCACTAAGGAATCCACAGCCTTTTCTGCCCACTTCTCTTCTTCATCTCCTTGCTTCCAGCCCAGCAGTCTCTTTACTGCTGGGCTGGTGAAGGAGAACAGAGAACTAATAGGGGTGCTGGAGTGCATAAGAAACAGAGGGTGTATGAAAGAGTAAAAAGAAGTTCCAATCTCTCTGCCGCTTACAAGTCCTGGGTGAAGTTTTCACACTATTCAGCTGTTGCCTTCAAAACCAGTTTCTTCCACACATTTGAAACTTTGTGATCTTGAATCCAGCTTAGGTGTATTCCAACTGGGAGGCTCTCAGACCTCTTTAAATACCAGGAAAATATTGATGCAGCCTAGAACAATAACATAAACCATAGTTAGGCTGCACACACATTCTTATCCATATTTTAATAAAAGTAAGTGGGAGAAGTCATTCTAAAAGTGTATTTACATTTCACTTTTTAGGCTGCTTATTTGGGGCCCAGTCTTGTCCTCTTTATTCACTTTGAGGTTGGGCCCTTTTCATCTCTATTTAAGTTAAACAGAATACAAAACAACTATTGACTTCCAACAAGTGGTTGGAGTCAGTTTCTAGCTAATGTCACTTTCAAGTTCTCCAGCACTTGCAGAGTGCTGCAATGCTGGGGATGCAATCACTGCAAAGGAAAAGTTATTTGTTATAAAGGCAATCTTCACTAGCATTTTTAACCAAACCTCAAGGTATTGGGAGCTGCTGAAGTATACTAGACAAAAATTAAACCTAGGCACCAAATCTCATCTGTCAGAAACCTAAATGAGGCAGCACCTTTCTGAACCGAAATCCCTCCATGAACTCAAAATAATGAGGTCAAAAGGTGTGAAATAATCACTGCATATTTCACTTTAATTGCCTTATTCTCAATTTTCAGTAGAGTTCACAAAGCTATTTTCTAAACACGTGTCCTCCTTCTCTACCATGTAAGAGGAAGGCTAATATTCATGTTTATTTTGTGTAGCTGCCTCCAATTATTCAAAGCTATTGGATAAAAAACACAGACTTTCTGACAGGGCAGTTTGTGTGGGATAGATCCTGTTTGTTGTTGTGTCTGCAGTAGTAATAGAAAAGGCTTGGGCCTTGAGTTTTTTCTGTAGTTGGAGCCACAGTAATTTTAATAGGAATGTGTATTTCTACTGACTGGATCCTCTGCAGCCATCTTTCCATGCAAAGTAGCTGAGCTTTGCATAAGGCATGTGAATAAGATTAGGGAGGAATAGTTCCTTTTTCCTTACTAAACCTGGACATTCAAGGATACGTGGCTCTGTGCGTGCTTGCCCATGTAATCTACAAGTTGGGCCCTCCACATATTTACAGGCTTTACACTTGTAGGGACCACTCAGTAGCAGATTACCTGGCCATTCCTACCTCTTCCCTGTATCCATAACACACACAGATTGTGTGCAGCTGTCAAGAGAAATAAGCTGCAGAGCCCTCTGGGTAGGGACAAGAGAAAGCAGTTTTCATGGCTTGGTTGCAGCCTGAAGAGCTGATTCCGTGGTCATTTTGTGGTGGCCCTGCCCCTTGGCACTGATAGGCAGAGGCCCCACCTCTCGGCACTGCTTGGCGGAGAGACACAAGGGGGCAGCCTCATTTTGGCTGCTGCCCTGCATGCCGCTCTGCCAGCTGGTGCCTTCTCTTCCTGGGCAGGTTGCTGGGGGCTGCTGGCTGCCACTGGAAAACCAGTATTTTATTTTTAAATTTTAATTTAAGTTGATTTCCTTGGAAATTGCAGCTGATGCCATTTCTCACAGCAACTGCAGAGATTGCCATTTTTCACTGTTTCCACAAAAATTGCAAAATCCTGATTTCAGTAGGTCCCTACCTCTGGGGTATAGAGTGTACAGTCTCCTTTTGTGAATTCTTATACCCATGTGCACAGGAACTGAGTGAGTTCAGGTTCCTAATGGACTTCCATGAGCCATGGAAGGTTGGATAGCACTTAGCCAAACCATGGAAGGAGGACAAACTATGGAACTGAACTATTTGGCATGCAGCTCCAAGTCGCAATGGTTTTTGCTGCTGTCAACATGTTGTTGTTTGCCCAAAGGATGCACATTATGAGCCCTGGGGAAAAGGGCAATAGAAATTTAGTCCTCTCAGAAAGCACTGTATACCTTCAACTCCCATTACATAAATCTTTCCATCTCTTAGGAACAGATGGTAGGGCCTGGGTGAGGGGAAGAGGCCCAGCACACAATGTAATATGTATGCAAGCATGTACCATTGTACATAATAGATATCGGGCTGCTCCAGGCCCTGGTATCACAAGAGTAAATGAAAAACAGAACAAGAAGGGAACACAGATGGAGCACTAGTGGACTGGACCCTACAGCTGGAATGGGATGCCTAGAGCACCAGTGATGAAAGCTCCCAATATCATTACCAGTTCTAAGTACCTGCTTTAGGCTGACAGAGAAAATGGGTCACATTTCTTATCTGAGGGTCCCCCCAGGTGTTAGGGTATGTAAACAGTCATTCGTGGTAAGTTAATCTACAATCATCAGATCTGAAAACACACATGTCCACGTAAGAGCATTGTCCTGGGATTTTTTTTCCATTTTGAACAGGGTTTTAAATAAACACATTAATCTCTCTCAGTCAAATTAAATAACTCAACAGTGACATCAGTATGAGTCTGAACACTATTGTTGTTAGCGGGAGAGAGGCCATGGGTATGTGGATAGAAGCAAAAGCAGTGCGCTGCAGATCATGTGATGCAGTCTAAGATAAGTACATTGTGCAATTTCCTTTCATGCTCCTCAACTTTTCTTTTAAAATAATATATACTTTTAAATCTAACTGGTCATATAAAGATAATTTGTATTTTATGCCACCTTGTGATATACATACAATATACTGCTGCTGAATAATTGTAGCTAGTCACTGACTGTATATATAATACAATATAGAAATATATTCTATGTGATATACAGTTACTTAATAACTGCAATTATATAGCACTCCTTCAGTACTATTACTGATTATAGATTACTGGGCACATCTACACAAGATGTCAACTGTGCAGTAGCCTAATAACACTGCACAGTAGCGTGCCAGGCAAAACTTTTGCTAATGGGAGTGGTGAGCACGCTAGCAGGGAGTGAGAGATTGCAGAAGGATCTGGATAGGTTACAGGGGTGGGCTAACAGGAACAGGATGCGTTTCAATACGGACAAGTGCAGGGTGCTGCACTTGGGCAGTAGGAACCAGCAGCACACTTACACAATGGGGAACTCCCTACTTGAGAGCACGGAGGCAGAAAGAGATCTTGGAGTCATTATTGACTCCAAGATGAACATGGGCCGACAATGCGAGGTCATGGTTGGCAGGGCTAACCGGACCTTGTCATGCATCCACAGGTGCATCTCGAGTAGAGCCAAGGAGGTGATCCTCCCCCTCTACGCGACGCTGGTCAGGCCACAGCTGGAGTATTGTGTCCAGTTCTGTGCGCCCCATTTCAAGAGGGATGTGGACAACATGGAGAGGGTCCAGAGGAGGGCCACCCGCATGATCCGGGGACAACAGGGCAGACCCTACAGTGAGAGACTGCGGGACCTGAACCTATTCAGCCTCCACAAGAGAAGGCTGAGGGGGGACCTGGTGACCGTCTATAAACTCACTAGGGGGGACCAGAAGGGTTTGGGGGAGACGCTGTTTCCCCTAGCGCCCGCTGGCATAACAAGGAGTAATGGGCACAAGTTGATGGAGAGGAGGTATAGATTGGACATCCGCAAAAACTACTTCACAGTTAGGGCGGCTAGGAGCTGGAACCAACTTCCAAGGGAAGTGGTGCTGGCCCCTACCCTGGGGGTCTTTAAGAAGAGGCTGGATGCCTACCTGGGTGGACTCATTTGAGTCCTGTTTTTTGTTTTGGGGTTTTGTTGTTCTCCCGCCCTGGCGGGGGGTCAGGCTAGAAGATCTACTAGGTTCCTTCCGACCCTAAATCTATGAAATCTATGAAATCTATGAAATAATGCACTAGTGCACAGTTGTATTAGGCTACTGTGCTGTTAGCATTTGAAAAAACCCATTTGCTGCTGCTACTGTGTAGTATCACCAGTTACTACGGTATGCAGTAACTAATGTGCACAGTAACTATGGTGCACAGTAACTACAGGGCATTAATGAACATGTATATACACCCACAGTGTATTATTAAGCAGAAAAAGCCATGTGTTGCTTATGTTTCAGTGTGACATACCTCAGCAGGTTTTTTTGCTCTGTCGTTGAGATAAATACAAGTCACAATTAACTGAATCTAATGATATTTTTTAGGGTGGCATTTCGTTAAAACAAACATTTCATATCAAGCAACACACCCTTGGTTGGAGCACAAGGAAAGTTAAACATCTGAAAGGCTTTAAACAGCACTTGACAAGTTTCCATTTCTGATCGTCTGACATGTTCTCCTATGTCAATGACTTGAGACCACTGAAAAAAGGTTTCCCAGCTCTGATCCCCAAATTCCACAGTTTTGTCGACATAAGTATTACCATTTGAGATGCAACTATTATTGCCAGTTCGAGGTTCATTGTTTCTGGATTTCAAGATCTGTGATGTCATCATATGCAACACATGTAGGTACTTAAATCGTTCAGTCAACAGTTACTTCTCTAGCACTCCTCAATTCCTTGAGACTGTGTGGGACACTTGCTTAGTCTGTGGGTCCACATATGAAGGCTGGGAAAACTGCCCCATCAACCAGTCTCACAGAACTCAGCTCTGGAGCCCAAAGCCACAGGACTGTTTCTTTCTGCAGTAGGAACACCCCATAAGCCTGTGAGCGTTACTGCCAACTACAAGCAAATCATAATGATGTTGGTGAAAGTCATGTCTGGGGAACAAACCAGCACAAGACTGATACACCACTACAGTCTCCTTTAAAAACAATTTTATCAGCTTAAGTGGTGAACTTGGGTTGTCTTCAGCACAGGAATTAATTTCAACTGAAGGGCATTACTCTGAGGCCAAGAGGAAGAATCTGACTGACAATGATGGAAAAAGGACTGGGCTCAAAACAGGCTGTTATGTAGAACCAGGGAAGCTAATTTTGCCAAATGCTATGCACATATATATGTATGCACACATGTACATGCATGCAGGTGTACACATACACATGTATACACATGCACACACACACATATACCAATATTAGGATTAAGCCATGTTGTACATCCCCAGGACTCAGTATTAGGTCTTTTTTTGGTCTAACTATAGACCTCTGCTGACAGAGACATGAGTATCTGTCTAGAAAAGGCTGCTGTCATCAGTCTCAATAACACTGAAACAGCTAAATAAATCCATAGAACAGATATATTCAGATACTAGACACAT